GTTTAAAAAAGGGGGGGGAAGGGTCCATGATTGGGGGGGGAAAAAAAAAAGGGACATCCCGGGAGGTTTTTGGGGCAAGGAATAAGGGGGGGGGGGCGGGGCCGTTTTTGGGGGGTTGAAAGGGGTTTAAAAAGGGGGGAAGGACCCTTGGGGGGTAAACCCAATTTGGGAAAACCTTTTTGGCCCCCCTTTGGCAAAAAGGGAAAGAAAATTTGGCCCCTGGGGTTTGGTCCTTGGGGAAAAAATCTCCCTCCTTTGGGGGGCGGGGGGGCAAAGTTTTACCCCTTAAGCCCCCAAAAACAAAAAAGTTCCCCCCCCCCCCCCCCCCCCCCCCCCTCCCCCCGCTACCCCTTGCCTGGGCTTCTGCCTACCTTGAATCACAGCGGTGCCCTGGACATCATGGTGGTTCAGCATGAGGACGGTGTTATGTCTTGCACCCCGTTTCACGTCCGGTTTGCCAAGGTGCGACCAGGCAGCGATCGATACTTGTGGAATGCTTCTTTTTGGCTCGTGAGAACGAGTGGGATGGCGTGGATGCTGCTGGTGTGTTGCAAGACAAGATGAGCGCTACCCACTCTCCGATTTGAGAGAAAGCTCCCCGTCTTCTTCTGCAGGCACGCGCCGCGTCCGCCTTGGCCGTGAACGATAGCCACCGCTTAGCCGTCCGCGGCTGATGGTGACGGAGGCGCGACGGCCCTCGTCTAATACCACCAGTGGCAGCAACGCGCACCAGTGGTGCCTTCACAACAACACGCGCCGGCTGCTTCGTTAGTACCATTGGTCGGGAGTTCACCTAGACTTTCGTTCAGTACGGTCCCCTAGCTTATCGTTTGTTTGTTCATTTCACGGCCACCCCGCCCCCCCCCCCCCCCCCCCCCCCACAAAAAACAAAAAAAATTCCACCCCCCCCCCCCCCCCATTTTTTTACCATTTAAGAAAAGAACACACCACCACCCCAAGGGAAACCGGGATCCCCCCGCGGGGCAAAGGAAGGGGCTCCCCCCTTGGGAAAAAAGGGAGGAAAAAAAAATGGCCAGAGGGGGGTTTAACAAACCCTAATTTCCCCCCCCCCCACCCCCCCCCCCAAAGATATTTTTTTTAGTTGGTTCCCCCCCCCCCGGGGAAAAGCGCCCCTCCCACGCCCTTCCCCCTGGGTCCCACCGAAAAGGGGGGAAGGAAATCCCCCGGAATTGCCTTTTCAAGGGGGGGGGCGGCAGGAT